CTGCCTTCATCCGCACTCCTTCCCCTCCCTCCACGCTTGTGAAGCACATGTCAAGCACGGTTGTATTTTGCCCGTACTGCAATAGGCAAACAATCCTTTACGTGTGGAACTGTTTCCCTCTCCGTACTGTAAGAGCTTGTGGTATGTTATTAATATAATTATGAGCACGTGGTAGTTAGCCAGTCATGTAGTTTCTCTAAAAAGGGTGCTGATTCCAAGACCAAAGAAGGACAATACTTGGATGTGCAGTCTGATGCGTGCTAATATCCAGTACTGGAAATAGGAGTTTAGTAATAGAAAACTAGGTGTTCCTGTAGTTGTGCTTCTTTTGGTATGGCTTACTAAAGGAATGATAGTTTATCCTGCTTTCCACCCCTCCATCTGTTTCTTTAGGCCCCTGCTCGTAACTTTTGAATCCCCTGCCCAGTTTCAACCAAATTTGGCAGGGAGGCAGAGCTGGCAGAGATGCAGCATCCTGACCCACTGCACGGAAGCCCCTGGCTACCCATGGGCAGCACCCGAACGGCCAGGGCCTGCGCTGCCCTTCCTCATACCCAGGCGACAGAAAGGGCAGGAGGAAGCCATGAGGGGGCTGTAAGGAGTGTGGCAGCACCCGGGGCTTGGGAATGGGCTGGGAGGCGTGGGGAGAGGTGCCTGGGCTGGGAAACACAAGGCATGGATCCATATGCCAGCAAGGTTTGGTCATCCCGTTGCTGAGAAGACTTATTTCTCCAAATCTGATGGATTACAAAATTCTGGGGTTTAATTCTGTAAGAGGCAGAGTCAGGGGAAAAGCTTTTTTAAAATCATTACATCAGCTTTGGGGGCAGAATTGTTAGATGCTTCCTGCACAGTGAGTCTGTGGAAGTCCTGCTGCCTCGGGAGTGGGTTGCTTGGCAGGCCGACAAGGACAGGGACACAACATCTGATGCACTTTCTTTCTCCCTCTGTAGGCACACGTACACACCCTGCCACCTTTCTCTCTGAGAAGAGGTATTCCTACGTTAGCGACCCTTGAAAATACATGCTACAGTACCCACAAACGAGTGGTTTTAAAAGCTTTACTGGCACTTGTAGGTGATGCCTTCCCTAGCTTGCCCACAGGGACCACAAGGACCAACATCTGACCTTGTCGTGGCAAAATGGTGAAGCCCAGAAAGGGAGTCTGCCGTGGCCCTGCCAGCGACTTCCCACGCGTTGCGAAGTGAGTCACCAAGGCCAGCATTTACAGAACCGACCCTGTGTGGGACTGGTCATGGCCTTATCAAGGCACAGTCAAAGCTGGCATGCAGAGCCTGAGGCTACATCTTGCATCCTTGGGTTTAGCCCAGGTGTTCTGATGCTTGCACGCCCCCATGCCATAGTGCTCCAAAAGGTCAAGTGGCATGCTAGGATGGAAGCAGGTGCTCTCCCTATGCCCTGCGTGAGTGAAATAGTAATACAGGGAATGCCAGGCTGAATTTTTACATTGTAGCACAAGAAGGCTCTAAGAGGGAATTAATTAAAAAGGATGATTTGAAGGTTGTATTTGGTACGAAATCCTGTATGGCCAAGCCACGTTAGATACATTTGTTTCCCCTTGAATTGAATTTTGCTACTCTGGGGTTCACCTGAGGTGACCCACTGAAATGCGGTGTAATTTAGAGCTGCTTCTGAGATGTCATCTGCTGCTGGAGACACTGATGTGCATGAACACCCAGCTGTCTCAGCACCATGGAAAAGTGGCAGAACAGCCTTGATTACAGCACAAACTTAATTATTTACTGTCTGAACGCATTGCTGGTATCCCCATGGGCTTCTTTTTCTCCTGCCATTGCACCTTTATGTCTGCCTATGAATATCAGCATGTTCTCAGTCCCAATTTGCTGCATTAGGAAAATGTTGCTAGAAGTCACCCAGTACAATCTGTCCCTGCCCTGTGTGCAAACGTGGTGTAGGCACCGATTGCAGGGCCCCAGCGAGCCCTGTTTTTTGTCCATGGAGTATTCCTTTTAGGCTTCCCTGGAGTCTTTTCATCTGACTGGGGACCTTCTAGTTCTTGGTTTCTTCCCAGTGGTGAAATTTTTTGGGAAGTTTTGAGGAAAATCCCTACAGCTTTTCTGAGTTATTGGAGAGTGGGGAGGGGGGGAATAGCCACTTCCCTCCGCTTTGCAAGCAATCGCTGGCTCACAAGTAACTCACTCTGGGAATCCCCTCTCACATGTTACTGCCAACCAAGATCTCAGAGTGGAGCTGGGTTTCAGAAAGGGACAAAGATGCTTGGGAACGAGAAAGACTCATGGTTTTGTGGCCACCCTCAAATATTGAATTGTCTAGCGACGAGCTTTAGGAGCTTGATGGCTAATTTCTGTGCCAGCTCTGGTATGGGTTGTGCCTAAGGCAGATTTCATGGCGGAGATGGCAAAAATATTTCTTTACGTACCAAATTTGCCCACTTGATCACTGGATGCAAATTGAGTTTCTGTCTTATTGCTCTTGCTGCCTTCAGCTGGTTTTTTTAATTTCTTTTTTCGGATGAGTTTCTGTCTCCTCCTGTTCCAGACATGCAGAAAAGAAATGTCTTTGGTTTAAAACCAAGACCAGTGGAACTAAGGAACTACTTTGTCTGTCTGTCTGTCTATCCAGAGTGAAACCTGCCGTAACAGCTTGTCTGGAGAAACAGAAACCCAACTAAAGGCTCCTGCTTTTGCTTATAGACTCTGTTTTACTTCTTCTGTTGTGTTTGGTTGTTTTGGTTGGGTTTTTTTTTTTTAAATGAAAGAATTCTTTAGAAAACACAGAGAATTAAACATAGACAAGCTACGTTCTTACACTGTCAAAATACAGTTATACGCCTGCATACCAAATTTGTAAAGCTACCGGTCGAACATTCCTTTCACCCACATTGTTTCCCTTTTCCAGTATGACCAGAATGAACCCACATAACTCTGATGAGCTAACACTAGTCTGAGGGCAACAGCTTTTTTGCATTTCTTGGATCACTGAGACATTTGTAACCTTTTTGCAATGTGAATGTCAGACATTCCTGCATTTGAACATGCAAAGTTTGGGGCTGAAGTTTTTACACACTGCAGTAGGCTGTCAGCAGAAGTCGCCACTCTGTACGCCCTCACACCTTTCCTTCTCGTTGCTGCCCCAGTTCTGAGTTACAGGCGTAGTTTAATGGGCATAACTGATGTGACATAAACGAAGGCTGCCGCTGACGGAGTTATCCCCCTGCATCGCTTGTGATGAGTTAGTTTTTTGTGGGGGTCAGCCCACTTCTCTTCAGTGCCAGTTTGCTTCTACACCCGATGCTGCGTACCCCGGAGTGGGATGCAGACAGGCCAGCCGAGGGGGCCAAACAGGTCATTGCCACCGAAAGGTGCAACCCTGCTCCTCTCTCCCCTGCTCTGGCTACGCAATCCTCCTCTCCTTTGCACTAGTTCTAGTATGTGTCTGATCCTTGGATGATCTAATTCGCCTTCCAGCTTAGCAGAAAGATTCTTTTTCCCCCCTTGTTTTACACCAATGTGGTGTATTGACCCAGCCTCTGGAGGGCCCTGCAAGGAAAGCAGTGGGAGCACGTGTGCTTGGAAGGTAAAGAGGCGCCAGATCCCCTCCGCTCGCGTGGGGCAGGCATGAGATCAGTGCTGGTTTGTCATCTGGCTGCACGCCGAGGTCATGGCAGGCTGGAGGAGAATTTCCACGTTTGGAGAAACTCTCCTTCCTTTTTAACATGTGTTTCCTACTATAAGTGCTGCGTGCATCTAGATGTGGTATTTTTCATGAGGCAAGGCAAATGTGCTGAATGCAGTGAAGTCTGTTTGCTTGGCGAAAGGAGGTCAGTTTTGCTTTTAAATAGGTGAACTTTATGTTTAAGTGTAGCTGTTCTGTCCCCTTGGAGGGACATCACCATTGGGAGTCTCAGGAGGTCATTTGAGAATATGTAAATCTTTCCCAACGCAGAAATGCCACAGGCTTTGCTTCTGCTTTTTCACTGTTATGCTTTTAAAATATCATTGGTCCCAGGGGACTCCCTGGCTGAAAATAAAAGTGCTGACTGCTGGCTAATGGTGGCACATCTAGCTATACAGCACTCAAAAGACATTCACCTTTTGGCAAGCCTAGAATGCCACCGTATCATATAAAAAATTGTTAGAAAAGACCATCGAGGCAAGTGTCTCTGCGCACCGCTGCTCTCCCCATAGCAGGTGCCCTCCGGTGTAGTTTTAAATGCCTGGCAGGCAAGGATTTCATCCCTGCACCAGGGTAAGTGCTTCAGTCCGAACAGACCTCACCATCAGACACTGCTTCCTACCAGCCGAGAGAGCCCCTTCCCCGCGCCGCCCTGCCCTGCGATGCTCCCAGCCGGTGCCTCCAGCGGCCCCTGCCCAAGTCTCTCATTTCACTCCCTCTGTGGCTTTTGTAGCTTTCAGATACCTCTGGACTGCTTTAGTCAAGTTTCTTTAGTCATCCTTCAGTTAATTACCATTTGCCATGCTGCATGCACTCTTATATAGGGCTGTTTAATCTCTCCTCCAGCCAGTCCTCCAGCTGCAGGGTTATTGTCAAGGTTGTCACCTGCAGAGCACTTGTGAGTTAGTGCCCAAGCAGGGACCAGGCTTTTATAACAAGGTAATGGCTGGCAGGCCTGTTGTTAGCCACAGTGGTGAGTACTGCTATGACTGTGGGCAAGTACTTTAGAAGCAAAAAAGAAAAAAAAAAAACCCACCCTGTAATTTTTCTAATTTTTAGTGGGCTTATGTGAGCGGTATCATACTTCATTTTTCTGGTTACTGGGCACTTTCACCTTCTATTGGTTTCAAGAGTGGGCTGCCTACTTGGGGAGCACATGAGGCAGTGAGATTTAGCAAGCACTGAAGAAAACTGGGACCTTAGCAGTGGGGAGGACCTCAACTTCAAAAGCTGTGCTGCGAAGCCAGCAGTATGTATGGCAGTGGTACCGGGGGAATCAGGAAAATGATCTGAGAACATCTTCAGCTGGGAGATAAATATAGAGGAAGTGCAAAGTGATCCAGTCAGTGAGGGACAGAGTCTGCAGGGGAAAAAAATTAACAAATTTATTTCTGTCTTTGTGTGTGACAAAATCTCCCCCGAAGGCCTGTCTTACACAACTGTGACATCTAGTTTCTGCCCCCAAACTGGGAAACTGTAAGAGTGCTGAGACAGTTGCAGGAATTTGATCTCAAAAGGAACTAAAATATGCAAATCCTCTAGGGACATCCAGATTTAGGGTCCTTTTTTATTCCAGCGGAGTCACCACTTCCACATGCTGGGCAAGGAGAAAGAGGGAAGGTTCAGAAAGACTCTTCCATTTGCTCCTTTCCCTGAATCAAAAAAGTCTTTCTGTCCCCATCGCCGGTGTCCCTGCCAGCATGCAGTGCGGGAGATAAGCAAGCAAGCCTTCCTCTCCTCCCCGAGCAACACCCCTGCGGAGGGCTCTGCAGCAAAGGGGAAGATCTTAAGACAGGATGTAGTCCCCACTCCCAAGTACTTTGGCGTCTCGTGTCCAGCTCCTTGCTCGGACCTGACCTCCTGGCTAGTGCCAGAAATTTGCCAACTGACTTGCCAAGGGTTGCAATCTTACTCATGTTATAAACAAAGCAGACTGGACATACCCAGGCGGTGGGCTTGTCCCAGCCTGGGTGAGGTGACTCAGAAAGCAGTAGATCTTTATCTCAAGAAGTACTGAAGCACCAGCTGGGCACTGCAGGAGCGAGAGGGAGGGGTACCGGCTGGTTGGAGCTGCCCCAGCGCTGCAGTGAGCCCCTTTATCAAAGTATTTTGGATTCCCTTTCGTCTTCTCAGTTGCTAATTGCAGATCACGGAACGTTTTCATTATTAACGGAGTTTCCTTCCCTTTGAAGTCAGGTTTTTCACAGAGTTGTGACTCAGTAACGGCGCTTCCTTTCATTCCTTGTCTGGCTGGGTTCCCTTGCTGGCTTTCAGGGCAAAAAGGCTATCAGGGGGGCGTGAAATCTGCTTTCTGGTGAGCAGCGATTAAGACTGGAGAACTACAACCTGCAAAGGAAACCGTAGTTGGAGGGAGGGCTTCAGTGGGAGTAGTGCGTGTCTAAGGAACTGGGACCACATCGGACACCAGCGTGTATTGAGAGCACCCTGTGAACCACTCTAAAATGAGTGTTACCTACAGTACATCACTGCTTATCAAAGTATGTGCAGGGATACAAGTGAGATTGATAATTTCATTTGTCATCAATAAGGCCTCAAGTTAACATGCTGCTGGAAAAAAAAATGGGATTAGTGCACACCCCCAAAGATGGACTATCTTTCTGTCTATAGGCGTAGGAAGGTGCCCTCTGGTTTTCACAGCCACTTCATGATTTCAGAGTTTCTTCACTAAAGGCTTTGCATGTGAAACAAAACAGCATTAAAATGGAATGAAAGCTGCTGAAGGAGTCAAGCACCAAAACACCACAGCAATATTATAATTGTTGCCAAATCATGCAGCATAGAGGTGGGTGAAGCAAGGTTACTGTTTTGTTTAGGAGGAATGTGGCAATGTGAAGACGGGAAGTGCATAAAGCCACGTAAGGTGTGCCATGCCCTTGCTACACCACTCCAAGTAGGGTGCCCCGAGGCTGCAGCGCAGAAGCAAGCAGCACTGAACTTTTAGAAAAACCGCTTTAAACTGTCTCCCTACCTCAGACAAGCCACGATATCATCATAAACTAGGATTAATCCTGTCACTTAATAGTCGTGGGCACACTTGACTTAGCGTGAGTGGGCACAGGGAAGTGAGACTGAGTGGAACTGCTGCCGAATGAAGTAAGTCGCTGTTTTTCTTTGGGACGCCTTCTCTTCTGCTCCTCTCTCACCGCATTTGGGGTGAGTGAAGGAACATGACCTCACAAGAGGTCACTGACATGAGCGAAGCAAACTGGGTTTGCAGCTGCTTCGCTTTGCCAGAGCAGCCTAGAGCAGCTGAAGGAGAGCAGCAGGCCTGTGGTTCATGACCAGAAGGTTGGGCTTGGGGTGGAAAGGGCCGCTCCTCCTTTCTCTGCATGCCGAGACCTCCCTTTGCATGCCTCCACTTGCTGAAGTGGAGTCTGGGTAGAAGGAGCCTAGGAGGCTTGCCAGGCACTCGTGCCCAGGTTAATATGCAGTCACAGACTCCTTAACGAAGAGGGCCAGCAGGGCCTGCCAGCACCCACTTTTCTCTGTTTCATCCCCTCTTTCTCATTTCATGGGGTCTTTACAGCAAAACGCAAAGGAAGGCAATGATTTTATGCGCTGCTGAAATGTCGTGATATCTCCGCATAGAAATTATCTGGGCATCTAATGGGGTCTTTCCTGTGATCAGTGTATTCACAGTGTCACAACACTGATTTAGTTTAAATACAAAGCATTTCTTCCAGCATAGCACAGGACGTTTGCTGAATTTTAACTCCATGGAAAGTTTGGGAGAATCTGATTCATCACTGGTAAAATCACCTGGGACAAAGAAAAGACCAAAGTCCTTTGAAGACTCAGTTTTTTAAAGTTTCTCATGTTTTTTCAACTGATCATCTGTCTTGCTCGGAAATCCCCGCAAAATACAGCATTGTCCTCGGAGGATAAATCCTACAAGTTTGGGGCAAGTGTGCTGTTCACAGAAAATGAGGGGCCTGATCTGCAGAATTACCCAGGGACTGTCAGGTGTGATTCCTCCTCTGACCCCAGGGGATGGCCACCAGGAGAAAGCCACAGCTCCTCGAGACATGTTTTCCTCAGCTGACCCAGGCTGGTTACCAGAAATGCCCTTGCCTCACTACGATGTGGTGTGCACCAAGTCCCAGAGCTGCTTAGAGTCCCTTTTTCCAGCCCTCATGCAGGCAGAGGATGAGAAAAGTGTTGGTGCCTCGGCAGAGTGGGAATCCCGGGTGCATGGTCCTAGGCAAAGTCAGTGATGCCAGTAATTTAAAAGTAGAGAGACCAGCTGCTGTTGCAAAGATAAATAAGTGGCCTTGCAGAAAAATAAACAATGGAAGGCTGTTTTGACCCTCACAGTTTTGGAGGGCCACCGACAATATTCCTCAGAGATTTTTGCAGGACTGTTGGTCAAAAAAATGTGCAGATCCACTGTCTTGCCTGCTGCTTACATGGGGGGGGCAAAGGACTCCAGGCCCACCAGGATTGACCTTTCCCTTCATGTGCATTGATTTGTGGGTTGTGTGTGAAGTGAGGTAACACAAGGTAAGATCAAAAAAAGGCAAAGCAGTTCAGAAGGGCAGAGAAATGGGGAACAGAGGGGAAAGAGAATGGCTTTGGGGCTTCTGTTCATGATGAATTATCTGAAGGTTTCCAACAGTTCAGCGCTGCTTCTCTAAAGCATGGCGTGGTCTTTTACTGCCTTTTACAGTCAAATGTCTCTGCAGGACTTCTGTCTCAGATGCAATCTGCTCTTCCCGTACCACCTGACTGTATGCGTGGTCAGGATAACCAACCTCTCTGTGGCCAGGGAATTTCTGAAACACGGCTTGGGCAAGGAGTGAAGGAAATAGGGATACGGGCTCAACAGCTCTCCTGCTTGCTGACTCTTGGAGCAATCAAGAAAGGATGGGTTTCCTCTACACTCACCTTTCTGTTCTTCTTAGCCCTGCTGTGCAGGGCTTCTGCAGCACAGGCATAGTTTGAATGAAACATGTTTTTCTGCCCGGGGAACAGAAACTCA